TTAGAGGGAGGAAAAACATTTCTCTGGCTAGAAGCCTGTAACAAAAATATGTGCTGTTTATGCTCCCCGCCCCCGAATGTCTAAGTAAGAATAGCAATTATTTTTTGAGGTCCTCTTGTAAGGATTCAGGCATTATGCTGGTCTGTCCCTGTCACCTGGCAGAATGCATTCAGGCAATACCCTGGTCAGCCCAGGGTTCCATGGTTGCATAGCAGGTGCAAAGGACCCCTTTAACAGAAAGACCCCTCCCCATTTAAGCTTTCTTTCTGTTCTCTTTCCCACGGTTCCCCTGGAGCAGACAGGATTTCTCCTGTCTCCCTCTTCTCTTCTGTCCTCTCTCCCTGTCTTCTTACCTCTCTCTCCTTCCCCCTCCCTCCCCTTTCTAATAAAACTTCTCACTTAAGGTCTGCCTGCCTGGCATGTTTGTCCCTTCTCCTGGGTCACCCTCGCCTGCTATGGAATCTGCCAAGGTTCACCACAGGCTTTATCATAACAGCACATTTTAACATAAAAAAAAAAAAAAAAAAAAAAAAAAGCAGCCATCCAGAGGATCTGATACCCTTACACCAATGCACATTAAGTTAAAAAAAAAAAAAAAAAGAATTAAAAAAGCAAACTTAACAATAACTTTTATTTTTTTCACGGCTATAAAATAATAGCTCGATCATTTCTACTGACTCACTGATCCCCCCCCCCCCAATCGGCTGCATTCTTAACACAGGGTGCCTTTCCCTAGTTTAAAGACATTACCATCTGCAGCATAGCCCATTAGCAGGGTACTTAGCATGGAAATTTTCTGTGATGGTGAAAGCGTTTGTAGCCCGAGATTAAGAAAAGGTTTTGTGGGGCTGGAGAGATGGCTGCTCTTCCAGAGGGGCTGGAGAGATGGCTGCTCTTCCAGAGGGCCGGGGGTTCAATTCCCAGCACCCACATGGCAGCTGCATTTCCAGAGGATCTGACAATGCACATAAAATAAACTTAGATAAATTATTTTAAAAAGGAAAAGTTTTGTGTTCTAGCTTTCTTTTTAGCCCAATTGGGGAGGGGGAGGCTGCAAAGGCCATTATAACCAGTCCCATGTTTAACATGAAGGTTTAACACCATAAATTTTTTTCTGAGAGGCAACGAAAGATAAAATGTGGGGAACGGAGGAGTCCTCACCTCAGCAGCTGACTAATGTGCGCATGTACGCTGAGTCTGCAACGGAATAGCCCGGAGTTCTCATGAAATCTAGGAAGAAGGTTTCCGTTTCCATTCAGATTACGAGAGCTGTGAATCTGAAGGAGCTTGGAGGGAGGAAAGAGAATGGAAAAATGCTGGCATTGTCATAATCTCGGAAACAAAAAGTAAGATTGGGTTTTTGCACAGACTTTCTCAATGTGCTAATTAGAGGGATATGTTCTTACAGGAGACATTAGCAAACCCCGTGACAAGCGTGTCCGCCCACTTGCTAGAAATGTATTACTGAGATTAGCCGGGAGTTCTCAGCGGAGAGAGGGCTGCTTAGCCTGTGCAGGTGTACAAAGAATGACACCTTAGCTAAAAGGTTATGTAAACCATTTGCTGGGAAAACAAAGGTTATATACTTTTACATTCCCAAACCCTATTATCTGTTAGAAGCTATTTGAGATCTGGAATTCTTCGAACATCACCAGATTGGATTAGTAACAATTCCAACTCTGAGTTAAGAAATCGTTTTTCTGTAGGTTTTTTTTTTCTTTAATTTTAAAAGTATTTTTCATTTTACATACTAACTCCAGTTCCTCCTTGCCCCCCCCCCCACTCCTCCTTAGATGGGGGGAGGAGACCTTCTTTGGGGAGTCAACAAAGTCCGGCATACCAAATTGAGGTAGGACCGAGCCCCTCTGCACCCTGTAGTTTTAAAACACAAAAGCATTTTCAGGCACAATTGGACCCACACACACCTTTTCACACTTCAGTCAAAATGAATAAAAACATAAAACAAGAAGCCCCATCATTAAATGAATCCTGATCTTAACACTGCTATTTCTTATTGCTTCTTCTTAAGTAATACAAAGATTTTTAAAGCACCATTATTGTTCCGGTGCAAGCTGATGAGGGTATCGCATAACTTCTAAATAAATTCCTGGAGGGGATTCCACTAATGGCATAGAAGGGAAACAATCAGCCAGCGTTGAAAAGGAGATGAAAATGTACTTTTTATTGAGGAGTCTTTTTTTTTTGCTGATTCTGTCACGGTCAAGCCCACACAATGGGGCTGTCTAAAGCTGTCCACACAACACTTCTTACTTAATCCAGATAATTTTCACCAACATTTGGGTTCAGAACTCCTGATCTTAACCACACAGCAAATCTTAGCTGTCTTGTGACTTCTGCTGGTAACAATGGCCGTTTGGTTTTTATATTTAGGGAAAAACAAAAACACACGAGAATAAAATCCCCTCATAGCAAAGGCAAAATTTTCAAGGAGTAAGTTGACAAAACAAAACAACACAACAGTAACAAAACAAAACAGAGCAAACCATATACTCAATTTGGCATGCAGAAGGGAAAACCAAAATAAAATGGGGCAATCAATCAATGTCCATCGAGTGGTTGTCCTTAACGTTTAATTACCAGAGTGACTGACAACGTATGAATGAATGAAAGGTTATATAGATGACAGCATACAAGTTTGAATATAACCAACCAATTCCATTCGAAGATAACCAACACTTTTGTATGTGACATACATTGAATTCTTTTTACTTTATGACATTTCTTAATGATCTTTTCCTAACTTGTAATTACATTAAAACAGGGTAATGTTGCAGCAAATGAAACAGTCCCTACCAACTAGACCTACCAGACAAGAGCTGGACAGTGGTCTACTCTGGAACCAGCCATTTAGAAGGGACAGATTTATGCTAGCTATGGCTGTACTTCACGCTACTGGTACACACTACATGGAGTATACTTGGCTAATTGGAAGAGTTAGCAGATGACCACTTAAATGTCTGCTTGAAATGCATATGAAAATTTTAATACAAAATAGACTTATATCTCACTGCTAGGCTCGGGATCAGGGTGAAGATGTAACTCTAACATGTTAGGATATATAGCTAAGCAAAATAAAATCAAATAAATAAAAATTTTAAAAAGGCCTAGTAGGGGGATCATGACTTTGAGGCTGGCCTACGTGACAGAATGAGTTCCCAAGCCAGCCTGAGCTATAAAAGGGAGACCTTAAAAATTCAAAACAAAAGATGAATATGGGCTCAGGTTTTCTTAGTGGTTCCTTTTATTATTTTTACATTTAGTGTGAATGTGTCTCTGTGTGTAGTTTACATGACTCATTAGAAGACATACAGAAGTCATGAGGGTAACTGACGGGAGTGGGTCTTCTACCACCACGTAGGTTCTGGAGTTTGAAGCCTGAGGCTTGCCAGTGTTGGGGGAGGAGCTTTTACCAGGTGGGCCATTGCAGGCCCTGGTTCAAGTCTTCAAGCACAGAATGACAGTGTCGCCATCTACACATCTAAGAGCAAGTGAACAGCACAGAGAGCAGAGGCACTTTGGCAGGGGCTGACCAGACCAAAGTCTAAACTACGCCTCTCCCGGTTCCTCAAGTGGTTCTGATGGTCAATCCCAAACTTCTCAAGTGAGGGGTTAGAGAGACACGTGTGTCGAAATGCAGAGATTTCTAGAAGGCAGTATCTTAAAATGGATCACTACTCCTCCATGCTTCCCGCAATTGTCTTATCGTCCCTGTTTTTCCAGCAGTGGATAAATGAATGGATTTGTTAAGTGGAAAAAATAAAGTCAGCAGGGCACCCAACGGGGGCTTTACCATGTTCAAGTTCTGAATGCTAAGGAACAGGCTATCTACCTGAAATTACCTATCCAGAGTGCCTGCTGGGTTCAGTCCCCAGAACCTCTAAAACGAGGGAAGAAAAGGGGAAAGATTCAACTACAAGGTGTCCGTGTGTTAAGGGAAGGTAAGGGGTCTTAATACAGAAACACAACACAAGACAACCATAAATACTAAGGACATTTAACAGAAGACAACTTTATTTTATAAATTTTCAAATTAAGTCGTGTTAGAATTTTCAGTGTTAGGAAGCAGTAGCCCTTGGGACATGGGACTATTCTCTCATAAAGAAAGGCCAAATCCCAGTGTTTCTCCAACTCAGGAATCAGCTGAGCTATTCTGCATAACAAATGTACACATATTTTAAGTGTGGAAAAATTTTGGTTCTGATTTTGAACATGGTATTAAAAGCATCAATTTTCTTCTTTAACATTGAAACTATACACAACTTAAGGCCAGAAGAATACACAACTTTTTAAATATCCCACATTTACTAATAAACTCTAGAGCAATAAAAAAACGAAAACAAACAAACAAACAAAAAACCCGATAGATAGTACCTACATAAGAAACTATACATTACAGGGCCCCATGGGAATAGAGGAGATATCTGGAGACTTTGCAAGCCTGAGCTCTTGGGGCCTTCTTATCAGCTCAGGGTGAGGCACTGTGGGTGGGGGGCAGAGAGGGGACACTGTCCAAGACCAGTTTCTGCTCTTTGCAAATTACTTAAGAAAATCTGCTATGTCATTTTATTAGAAAGATACCAGTGTGTCAGTTTCTTAGATCACATTGCTTTTTCATGATAAAAACTCATTTAAAAAAAAAGAGAAACTATACATTAACTGCTTTTCCGAAGTAATTGAAGTTTTCAAATATTCAAACACAGAAGAGTAAATTTTCATTTACTATAACACAGTTTCAAGTATTCTCTTAAGTTTATATTTAGCCAGCTAGAACATATTATGTAACTCTGTAAAATAGATTTCCTTTTCAAAGATTACTGCTATACAAAAATAGTGTGTCTACTACTACTGGAAATCATCTGAGTGGAAAGAGAAGGTGAGGACAGCTTACTCTTTGTGAGTAAGCATTGACACACAGAAGGCTGCACACATTAGGAATAAGGCATTTGTAGGCAATTCCCCCAAGTATTTGAATTTCATGTAAACAAAGACTGTGCTTATTCCTTTAGGGAGAATATGTACTGACAGAGATAAAATATATGCAAATGGCTGTTACTCTGAACCAAAGATTACTGAGATATCACACACAAAACCAAGAGGCGTTACCTGTATCATTTGATAACTAATGTATTAACTATCATTTGTGAAATACAAGGCTGATGCCTTTTTAAAACTAATAGGGGAAAAGCGTTAATTTTGAAAACCAATATCCATCTGGTGTCTGGAAATAAATATACAGTTATCTCAATGTATTGCATCACAGGAACATCATCTTTGCCTTAGCCATGACATTCACAATCAGTAGTTTAAAAACAGCGTACTCCACACAGAATCTTGGGTCTTCTACCTCGTCAGCTGTCCCACAACTTTCAAAAGAGTTTTATTTTCTTGCTTTAATTGTTCATTTTCATCTTCTATGTCATCTAGGTCCTGGGGGAATGGGAGAAAGCAACACTTTAGAAATACTGGAAAATATTCTAAAGGAGAGTTGAAATAAACATAAAACATAAAGATAACTCAGTTACTCAATTAATGTTTAAGTACTAAGTTCTAAAACTGACACCAGATATGCCCTCGACATTACTTGAACAGGCGTTGTTTTCAAAAATAGCCAGAGGTCAAGTTTCTAAAATGGTGAATCTAGACACACACACACACACACACACACAGAGAGAGAGAGAGAGAGAGAGAGAGAGAGAGAGAGAGAGAGAGAGAGAGAAATGTGTTAGAATTGTAGCCACAAATACATAACTATGGTTTTAGTACTGAGCATATGGCTAAGTTTTAGTTATGAGAAATGTCACTTGAAGGAAACACAACCATGTAAAGTCTTATCTTTGCAATTTATAATATTAAAAATTGACAAAATCCAACTACATGGCAAGTGCCACATGGCTGCAGGATTGTCGTGAACTTACACTTCGTGGTTGGACTACCAGGCAGATGACCAAAATGTTAGCAAAGTTAAAATTTGCACTTATTCACAGACTGAATAAGGACAAGAAACAAGTCTGTTCAAACTATTATAAAAATAAGATTAAAAAAAAAATCACAACTGAGATCTGCCTAAATTTAAAATTAAATAAAGGCAGTACCCTTGGAAAAGGCTCCTAAAATTAAAACTGTTAGAAACACACTCATGAATCATGACTAAATTATAAACTTAGGCAGGGAAGAGATTTTTCTGATTATTTTTAATGCTCTTGGTGTCTGAGACAGCACAAACACACCATGGACATCACAAATATTTGCCAAGCCTCTTAAACTGAATTCCAGCACAAATAAAGACATGCTTATAGTAGGATCAAGATGAAAGACTACATAAGACCCAAGTCAAATACTGGCTCAGCCGCCGCCGCCATACATACTTGAGCAAGTTAACTGGGGTGCTCTGTGCTCACGTACAACTTGAAATCACTGCCTTTGAGCTGCATCAGAAGAGGCCGACACTGGAGACCCTCCATTTGTGTGGCATATGGGATCACACCCGTGCCACTGCCCAGCAGAGGCAAGCACTGTACCATTCATTTTGTGTAGGAGCTGAGACTGGATTGCAAACTCTTCTTTCGCCTCTTAAAAAGCACAGCAGTGGGTTCTCATCTCACCACAATCACCTTAGTAGATGCTCTGGCTGGGGCAGCAAGGACATTCTAGGGCTGAGCTCAAAAAAAGAAGAGCTCCAAACTGAACACTTCAGAGCTTCGAACCTCAACCCAGAGCTGGGAAAAGTCCTAGTATCATCTGGAGAACTGTCGAGGATACACAGCTTATGGAACGAAAAACGGTAGATCTCACCACTAATGACTATCTTATTAACCAAAGAGCAAACCAGGGCAACAGACAGGCTCTTCACTTTTACACGCTTTCATCCAATTACTCAAAAAACAAGACAAACAAAAACCCCAAACTTTGCACCTGGTGGTGATGGTGGTGGTGTATGCCTTTAATCCCAGCATTCGGGAGGCAGAGGCAGGGGGATCTCTGAGTTTAAGATCAGCCTGGCCTACAGAATGAGATCCAGGACAGCTAGGGCTACACAGAGAAACCCTGTCTCGAACAATCATAGATAAATAAATAAATAGAACAAACCTGGCATTCAAATGCAGAAATACTTACTCTATTTAACAAATCAATCTCTTCCTTGAGTTTTCCGATCATTTCTTCTTTATCTTGCATGAGTCTCATGAGCCTAAGGTTTTCTTGCCTTTCTCTTACTACTTCCTGGTGAATAAAATCACAAAGCATTAACCAGGAACAGGTTGGTCACAGTATTTTTAAATGGCCAACACCCATCAACAGCAGCGCAAGGCTGCAAATGCTGGCCCCTTTCAGCCACAACGGACACTGGAGACACGGCCGGCCATGACAGGCCACTGTCCCTCTGTCAGAGAAGGACGGCGTCTGCATATGTTTTGAAAGAACAGTATCGAAGACTTTGTGAATTAAAGAGGGAACGGTGTATTTGCCGCTGTTCTTATTTTTTCCTTTAAAAGAGATTCTGCTCAGGGGGATGGTGGACCTTACTTAGGGTTGCAGTCAGGAGTCTGAGGCAGAGGGATAACTGGAGCTTAGGAGTTCAGAGCTACCCTAACCCTGCTAAAAATGAAACGGTGGGGGTGGACGTAGAGGCATTTTCTTTAGGGTGTAGTTACTGGAGAGATGCCCATGAGCCTGTAAGTGGCCCCAAAGAAACTCCGTGCGAGCATCTCTCGCATGCACGCACGGGCTTATTATTTCTTATAACTGCCAGGCCTTTGCTTAGCTTGTTTCTACACAGCTTTTCTTACGTCTGTATATCTTACTTTCACTCTTACTCCATGGCTGGCCGGGCAGCTGGCCCCTGATATCCTCTATCTTGCTCCTCCTCTCCCAGATTTATTATCCTGTCTGCCTGCCAGCCCCACCCATTCTGGCTTCTGCCTCGCTATTGGCAGGTCAGTTCTTTATGAGACAGGCAAAGAATCACAGCTTCACAGAGCTAAACAAACGCAGCACAGACAAAAGCAACACATCTTTTTTTATCATTAAACAAATGTTCCACAGCATAAGTAAAAGTAACACACCTCAAAATAATATTCTACTTCAGATCGATGCCTGAGATTTTGGGGTTCATAGCTTTGGGGCAACGTTCATTCCAACTGATGCCAAAACATCTGCAAGTTTGTCTTATTCTTACATAAAAATGGCCAAACAGGGTCCTAACTCAGAATCGCTGAAAGGTTACAAATAACAACCCATTGGATGATGCAGCTCACAGGAAATACCAGGGCAGACACCTGAGCCCTCAGAACCCTGCAATTCACACAGTCAGAGTCGACAGAATAGCAACGGCTACTTTTTTGAAGAGTTCAAGAAGTTGGCCCATTTCTGAAGTTTGGCTATCACAAGCGGACAGAAAAGCATTAAGGAAACAGGGAAATACCTAGCCACCCGGATCTAGGAGCAAATGCATAGGATGCAGTAAAAGTTGCTCCTGGAGTAGAACCTGCTAGTGTCCTCCTCTCCTTTTTGGGGGCATAATGCCACGAAACCAACAGAGGAATGCTAAGACACCTTAATTTTATTTTGAATAATTAGTGACTCATACCTTCTCGAGATCTTCAATTCTCTTCTCCAGTGCGCTACTGGAGGCGAAATTCCCTGCAGCATTTGCGTCTCTGTTGTGTCTGTTGAAGCCACTTCTGTCTGGTCGGGGGTACCTACTTGAGACATCGTCTTCCGAGGCTGTGGTTGTGCTGTGGGAATAAAAGTCAGTATTTCGTAAACAACCCTAGCACTCTGAAAGAAAAATTCCTCTTCAGCCTGAACAATTAGCACTCCCTGAGGACTCGAGGTTAGAACTCATTACAGCTGCAGGATTTAATCCTCATTCTAACACAATGGGGAACAAAGTATTAAAGCACATGAATTCTTTCAGCGAATACCCAAGTGACTGTTCGTGTCACGGACTATTCTTGGTACTGAAGATGTCGATAGCAACCACAAACACATGCTGTCCTGCCAACAAGGAATGCCACCAGGTACAATACAGTAATATGACCAGCACTTTTAGGTCAAGGCTAGACACACTAGGAACCAGAACAGAATGGATCTCCTAGACCACCTACGGTGAAAATTGACTTCTCTTTATATTTTATTGTTTGGTTTTTTGACATAGGGCTCTGTGTAGTCCTGGCTGTCCTCAAACTCACGGAGATCCTGTCTCCTGAGTGTTGAGATTAAAGGCATACACTACCATAGCCTGGCTTATGTTTTCTTTTTAAAAGTGCCTTTTATTTTTAAAGTTCAGTGTCTCGTTAAATTCCAAAACACAACCTCAAAATATAATTGGAACAGAAAAAAACAGTTGCATATTTCCGAGTTTGCATACAGGCAACTACTTAAACACTGTTAACTCACTGTTCATGCTGCAAACTTAGCCAGCACTTCCTCAAACTAAATACTAGCTTACAGCTGACCAACAGCACTGTCGATATTTAAAGTATCTCGTGCAACAAGCTTTGTTTTGCTCTCTGTATTGTCTCCATCTACATAAAAATTACCAAACTTTGTGACTTAAGGAAACATACATTCACTGCCTCAAATCTTCTGTGTCTCGGGAATTTGGAAGCAGCTTAGGAGGTAATTAAGACTGAGGGTCTCCTGTGAGCCTTCTGTAAAGATGTTGGCCAGTGCTACAGATATCTGAAGGCTTGACTGAGCCTTGACTTGGCCTCCAAGCACACTCAGGCATCAATGGGCAAATGGATTCAGTGCCTCTCTGGCTACAGGCCAGAAGCCTCAATTCCTCCCTGTGTAGGGCCTTCTAGTGGGCTACTTAACATATGGCAGCAGGATTCTAGGGAGGACTGACTTAGGATCCAGGCCAGAAGCTGCAGTGTTTGCCACACCCTAGTCTCAAGATGGCATCCCATCAACTTCTGCCCTCCTTTTAAAAGCATATGGATTATTCTGCTGTAACACTGACAGAGAGGATCACACAGGCCTAAGTACCGGAGGGAGGGCTTGTCAGGCCAGCTTGAAGGCTAGTTACTACATTCATTGATTATGTATACTAAATTACATTAGTATACTGTAAGTCTACAGCAAAACACTTTGTTTCGATAGCACTTAGAAACTAGCCCCATAGAAGCATGTTGACAAAAATAATTTAAAGCAACTCCAGAAAGCTCAGAATAATCATTCTTTAAAAACATTAGCTGGGCCAGGCACTTAGCGCACACCTTTAATCCCAGCGCTTGGGAGGCAGAGGCAGGTGGAACTGAGTGAGTTTGAGGCCAGCCTGGTCTACAGAGCAAGTTCCAGGACAGCCAGGATTACACAAAGAGACTCTGTGGTGACACTTTATGATCTACTAAAGCTTGCCTGAAGATCAGAAATCAGAGTTCTCCGGGCTGAGGGGAACATAAAGCGGGAGGAGACAGGAACTCATTGCAGTCTAAAAGGGGTCTGAGGTTTGGTGGAGATCAGGGCAGTCTGGAGATGCAATCTGAGGACAGGATCACCCTTTTGGTCTGAGCATTGGTTGAGGTGAGAACTCTCTAGTGGCTGGCCGCTTTGAATCTCTGATCTTCAGGCAAGCGTTGCTAGATCATAAGGAAAACACTACCACAAAAGTCTATTGGGGGGGGGGAGATCCAAAACAACCAAAAAACATTAATCAAAAGTCTACAGCCTATTTTTAATTTTTTGTTTTCAATATTTCACTAGTGGCCACCTGAAATATTTTATATGCAAAATCATTGTAAAATAGTCTTCATAGGACAAATGGGCTCCTGGTGTATGAACTTGCCAGGCATATGTCTTTTCATCCTATTTAGGGGATCTGGCAGTAATTCTCAGATGTGTGCAATGCCACAGCAACCACTGACTTGGTTGATTATTCTCACTTACTGTGAACCCATGACGGCAAGCTATAGAAACTTCACCCTATAATTTCTACCTTTTGTTTCTTTCTTTGATCTTATCTGTCAATGAAAAACATCAGACATTCCTTCCTTGCACAAAAGGTTAAGATAATTAAAAAAAGAGACAAGCGGGGTGGGGGGGGGGGAGGTGTGCCAGCAGCCAAGTAAGTCTAAGGCATGTATTTATAAAGCTGGCGGCCAAACTACGCTCTTATCTTGCAAAAACAGCCAAAGTTCACCCCGACGTTCAAATACTTCTGATGAAATTTTCCCTTTGAAAGCCAATGCATAAGCACTCGGCATACAAGAGTTGATTAGCCTGAGTGATAAGATCGACCCCGAGCTAACAGTTTTCAGGGGTCTCAGATTTGAAGCATTAGTGTTCATTCCCCAGTGCACTAGTGGACCACTGTGAACTCAGTTGATGGAGTTGGGCTAACGCAGGGAGGTTTGCTCAAAGAGGAAGGTAGCTCACAGCTTACACTCTGCTGCATGCTCCGCTCCGGCATCTTTCAGGAACGAGTACTGCATCATAATCACTGTGAATTATTACAAAAGCAAAGCAAGGGGGTGGAGAGATGGCTTGACTGTTAGGAGCACTCACTGGCTTGCTCTTCCAGAGGTTCTGAGTTTGATCCCCCAGCAACCACATGGCGGCTCACAACCACCCGAAGTGAGATCTGGTGCCCTCTTCTGGCCTGCAGGTGTAAATGCAGGAGGACACACCACACAACAAAAGCAGAGCAAAACTGCAAACTTCATGTAGCCCTTTAAAACTCACGTATTTTACAGCAAGCTGGGTCTACCAGCAACGGAAACTGAAAAACAATGTGTTCCATGTTGTGGCAACAATCAATGCGTTCATCAGTCTATGGGAGTGCTTATGTGTCTGAGACCTGAGTGCTCTTGAATGCTGTCTTGTTCCGTGCAACTTCCCATGGTTCCTTTACCAATCTATGCCCTATACACAGATCAGTTTAGGGTTACAAATGCACAATTATAGAAGCCAGAGGACAGGATCGAGTGTCATTCCTTAAGCACCGTCGCATTTATTTATTTATTTACTTACTTACTTATTTCGTTTTTAAGTTGAGATGGGGTCTCCTCATTTGCCCAAAGCTCACTAAACAGCCCTCCCAACCCATCTCCGCTTCCACAGCACAGGGATGACAATGGCAGGCTCAGGCTGCCATAGCTGATTTTTTTAATGTGGGCTCTGAGGATCAAACTCAGGTCCCTGAAATTTAGGGCAGAGCCATTCCTCCAGGCCTGTCCTGTTTTAACATGGGCAAGCAGAAGAAAGGCTTGGTAAGAAACTCACAAAATACTAATTAATGGTTACAATAATCCTGAATGCCTTTTTTTTTTTTTTTTATGATGAAGCCAACTACATTCTATCAATCAATTTCTCTTGAGCTCATTTATGTCCTGCATTCAAACACCATCTAAATTTTCATGCGTACCCTGTTTCATTAGCCAGTGTGTTCGCGAGCAATGCCCTCTGGGCTTAGTACTCCTCTATCATCAGGGCAAAGACTGAACTCAGTTACACCGAGAAATGACACCTCTCAAGCAAACTCCTCAAGACTGGTCCTGTATCTCTTTGGAATGACCTCTGCTGTCATGGTTCAATTTTCTGCTGCTACTGTCACAATAGGAAAAGTGACTGACCTCGTCCAAAAAAGTTCTGGAAAGCTTGCTTGGTTGTTAGTAAATTAGAATCCAAGATAAACAAAAGTCTCCCAAAATTTAGCAAACATTTTAAAAAGCAGAAACTTAAAATGATGAAAATACAATTTTAATTTATTTTAGTAGTCACTTTTGTAGAATTCACATTGTTTTATTTATGGAACACAAATCCGACTAACATTAACACAGAGTTTTTAAGCATAATAAATGCTCACACCTTCCTCAATTCTTACACATTTTTCTTTTGAGTTATAAATGCCTGATATAAAGGTACTATATGCTTGAACAGCTTCTATGTGCCCAACTAACAGGCAACTTCCCATGGTCCTTGTAGCAATCTAACTCTGCAAATATGACAAATCTATACCCTCTGCAAAGATATGAACAGTGCACCCTCTGCAGAGATGTGAACAGTGTACCCTCTGCAGAGATGTGAACAGTGCACCCTTCACAGAGATGTGAACAGTGTACCCTTCACAGAGATGTGAACAGTGTACCCTTCACAGAGATGTGAACAGTGCACCCTTCACAGAGATGTGAACAGTGTACCCTTCACAGAGATGTGAACAGTGTACCCTATGCATGGATCTGTCCAACAGCATGAACTTGGAGGCAAGGATGACCACACAAAATGCAACTCAGGATGTTAATGCTTCCCCTAGAATTCTTCCATTGGTTGTCCTGGATTAAAACAAACTGTAGCAACACTATGCTACAATGTTTAAATTATATTCACAAGAATCAGAGCTAGTATCCCATTTGAGAAGCAGGACAGCCCAATAAGGCTAAAACATAAAATGTAACCAGAAGATAAGAAGATAGGAAAGCAAGCAGAAAACCTGATAGCTATTTCATAGAAGAATTCAAGCTAATACAAATTTTAAAAGTCTCCATACTGGAAGGCATGTTCACTTACCACTATTTTGTGTGATTTGTGATGATCATATAAAAGTAGTAAATATTATCTGTTTTGCCAAAATATAGAATACAAAGACTTGAAAAAGACTAAAATTTGTCTTATTCATTTATGCTACAAATATCCATTCTTACAGGAAATTATATGCTTCTTCCTAAGGACCTAATTTAACAAGGATTTAATACCTCATGATACATTGACTTGTAGCTTTGCCTTTAATGGC